CCCCTCTCTCTCTCTCTCACTCTTTCTCTCACTCTCACCCAGACTCTTCACATACACATTCACACTGGTGTGCACTCAGGTCCCCACCTGTATATTTAGGAAAAAATGACAGAATGTACTAAGGATATTAACAGATCTGACTTATACTTATTTTTATGGATCTTAGATTGTATAAATCTTTTGAAATGTATCGCGAGTTTCTTTCTTTCTTTTTTTAGTGACAAAGAATGAGATACTTTCGTAGTGTAAATGATAATTCAAGGATACTAACAATATTTTTGTCCACAGCAAAAAATTTATGACAAGTTTGCTGAAACAGTACACAGATTTGATAGACGGACTAGGGAAGCACATACTGCAACTACACAATCAGATGTTAGCCACCTCTGTTTTCTCAGATGCTGACAGTGGAAACTGGGCTGAAATCAAAGAATTTCAAGAAGTGTGTACCTGTTTTGATGTGGTGTTTTTCCCTTAGGCCAATTGACTGTAGTTTTATCCTCTGCTGCTAGTTGCTTGTAGTTGTTGAACACATATGACTTGTTCAGGCTTTTTCCCAAACTTGTTCTCAAAGAATTCCATTGCTTCATTAAAATGAATAACTTGAACCAAGGAAAAGGAACCCTCCTATTTTGAACAGGTGCATATTACGCTCTTTTAAAAAAGATGTTCTATGAAAGTTGAGTTGAAATGTGTGAGAAAATAATTCTGAAAAATGCTACTTAGATGTTTTGAAACGGTCTTCATTGAAGTCTCTTCTGCTTCTCCATATCCTCCCCCCACCCCCCTAAAAAAAAAGAAAAAAATAATGACAAAAAGTATAGAGTGACTGTCCTTTATGGTGAAATTTAGCTTGAAGGATGGACTGGATGTCTCTGCCCATCGCTGTTTCATGTGCATGATTTATTAAATTGAGTTTTTATTCAGTCGTGGATATTCAAATACTTACTTAGGAGTTATAGGATCGCCACAAATTTAAAATGAGGCAGGAGTCATAGGGTCACCACAGTTTCGGAATTACTTTGTAGTCATGGGGTCAAGCGGGAAATCTCTCAAAAAGATTCCTTCCTTCCTTAGGGTGCAATAGTCTTTTGACTGTTTTTATTTCTCTCTAAATCACAACAGGATGAGAGGTGCTCCTTCACAGTTCAGATGTGGAACTTTTACCTGCAAGGTATCCAGCAGGACATGTGGCAGACTCTACCTCCCCGGCTGGCTCAGAACTTCTTCAGTTCCGTGCTGCAAGACTCGCTGCTACTTATGATGCAGAGATATGCTAGAGTACGCCCAAGCTTCCGAAGGTTCAAGCAGATGAGGTTTGTATGCTAAGTGTCACTAGGAGGAAAGTTTTCACTTGTTGCATGGCTGGTAGTATGAGGTCCCTTGGCGGTAAAGACAGCTGAATTGAGATTGCCTTATTTGCACATTTGCAGATATGGGAGGAGTCGAAAATTTCCTAGTGTACGTGCCGGACCTTAAAGCTGGATTTGACTGTATATACCTGTTACCCATTTGCTGGGCTGGGCAATGAGTCGCTTTAGCAAAATCCGGATACTATGCTAGTGTACCTCTTCAGCAAATAATATGATATGAACCGCTTCGGAAAATGTGTGAAAACCACTTCGACAAGCGGGTAGCATCATTTCTACAAATGGGTGCACCCGCTTCGGCAAACGGGTCAGAAAAAAAGAGAGTTAAGAGTCTGACTTTGGATAATGTTTCTTTGAGAATCATCCGGTTATCCTTATAGATTATCCGGATTTTGCCCACCTCTACCCGTTTGCAATTCAAAGGCATGCCTCAGCTTCTGATGAGGTAGCAGTAGACCCAAGGGAGCTCAGGTGCATGGGTCCTGTAGGCTAAGTGGGGCAGGGGTCAGGGGGTTAAAGGCAGGATTCAACCTGTTTGCCTTCACATTTCACATTGGTGTACCTGATGGGGTTGGTTCATTTTAAATTGTTTTGGAGATTTATAAACAGGCTGGGACTTGATAGAAATGAGTTGGCAGCCAACATTTTCCTCTCAGCTGAAAATATGGACATCATATGCTTATGTGTCTACATGTCTCAGAAGATGGGCTTGAAAGAGGACAAGAGCAAAGAGTGATTTTTACCGCTGACTGTTTGCTCTCCTCCAATAGTGCTCAGGTGGGTAATAATTTGAAAGAAAAAAAAGAGAAGTAACAGAATAATGTCATTTTCTGTTCACTTCTTTTTTCTTCCTTCTGAGTGTTGTTTAAATGTGTCACGATTTTATATTCCCCTTGAAAATTCTTGACATATTGGCATGATGTGCACAATGAAAATATTAAGACATACGTTCTCTGTGTGTTCCTGATAGGTATGACATCACAAGCATCCTCCTGTGCAGCATAGAGCACCTGCTGAAGGCATGCTCCTCCATCTCCCAGTACCTGGACCCAGGACACAACCAGCTGCCTCACTACAGCATCCACAACCAGTGTTCCAACCTCCTGGCTGTCATGGCCGTGGTCACCTCACCCATTGACACCTTGTACAGGTGAGAAAGGATGTCTCCTTCTGGAATTGATGAGGGGAGAGATGGGGGATTTGAACGGGGGGGGGGGGGGGGGGGGATTGGGATGGGGTTACAGCTACAGTGATATATTCTTTATGTTAGGGGGGAGGGGGGGGATAGGGATAAGGTTACAGCTGAAATGATGTATTCTGTTTGTAGTAGGATATTTATTCAAGTTAAAAAAAAACCCCAAAACCTTGATTTTGCTTTTCAGTAGATGCTGTGTCTCATGAAATTCCCAGAATTCAGAAAGTATCAAAGTATCTGATTATCTGATATTCCGGAGTTTCTTTTTTTTTTTTTTTTTGGTGACTTATGTAATGGTTAAAAGCAGCTTTTGGAATTGTGATGTGCAGAGATGATTTTAGTTTTCACCCACAGTTCATTCATAGTCTAAAGTATTATCCATGTAAAAAAAGTCCTTGACAAAATTAGATAAATGTGTATAGAATGCTACAGTATTGTACAGGTAAGCTTTTTTTCTTCTTTTATTTTTAAAGATTGTTTTGTTCATTTACCATGTTTGGTTGAAAAAGCAGTTATTGTTTAATATAATTTTTTTAATGACTATTTTTGTTTGTTTGTTTTCTAACAATTGTTTGCATCAGATTCAAAGGTGGAAGTGAAACTCTTTTCTACCACTTTTTCTCTACCACCAACCAAAAGTTGATAAGTGACAAGTAATGACGTGTGTATGGTTGATAGGGGGGTGCAGGTGGTCCGACTTCTTTTCATTTACTCCTCTTTTTTTTCTGTCTGTCTTACTTTTTTCCGTAGACTTAATGGCCATTTTTGTGTTGATGCATTTATCTTTAACTCAATTAAACAAGGAACTATTACTGTGAAAGGCTGCATCAGGATTAAGTTTTCCGTATCAATACTTTCTTCGTGCAGGGTGTTCAAGCGTGGGTACAGTCGCCGGACAGAGAGCCAGGACAGCGGGAGCTCTTCTCAGTATGGGAACAACACGCAGTGGCTACACTGGATGTGGCCATCTCTCATACACTCAGGGACCAAACAGTAAGTCGTTATCAAATGCAATAATGAGTAGTTATCAAACATTGTTATTGACTGTAATCAAATGCAATAGTAAGTCATATCAACAGTAAGTGGTTATCAAATGCAGTAGTAAAGCTTTATCAAATTTAATTTCTCATACACTCAGGGACCAAACAGCATATTGTTGTCGAATGATTTGCATGCAAGTGAATATTTTATATTTCTTTGAAATTGCCATGTATGGGAGAGAACTCAATTGTTTGCCTATCTTATTCAACTTTAAAAAACAAAACACTTTGCTTGTTATCAGAGTTTAATATCAAATTTCACGTTACTTTCCAGCTATGATGACATGCAGACCACATCTGCCCTGTATTTGCACCTGAGAATTTTCCTGGGTCAGCCACAGATGGACTGGGGAGGTCTCACTCAGGTGGGTGTGACATGCCATTTTGCTGGGAGTGTGGGATGTGGGGTACATTAATATAGGTGCTTTGCCAAGCAGTTTCAGTGTAAATTAAAGTTAGCTTTACAAAGCTTATTGGTAACCGTATGTCCCCCCCTCCCCATATGTCAGTCCAATTGAAAGTCCATATGACATATAACTTCATAAAAGAACTTCCTTTTAAGGCCAGGGGGTTCTTACAGCATTTTGGTCTTATTGGCTCACACTGCTTTGACTCACTTATTCTGGTTCTACTAAGATCGAAGTAACTGTTTACTGCAGGGTGAGTGAGACAAATATGACAAAGAATCAGATTGGTATATGGAGATCACTAGCTTTGTATGCCTTTTTGTTGTCTCTTGTATAATGTGCTGTATTTTAAAACCCAAATGTATCCATGAGACTTTATGAGGCGCTTTAAATTTTGATTAGATGTAACATTAAATGTTGCATCATTCTGCCTGCTACTTTTATTAATGCTCTCTTGTCTTAACCCCTTCACTGCCTCCTATGAGCTACATAGCTGTGCCGGGGAAAATTGCTCCAATTACTACAAGCGTCACATAGAGCCCCTAACTCAGAAACTCGATTTAAATCATTATCCTCACTGTTACAGTTATTCATAATTTCATCTAGACTAGAACTTCTGCAGCTAAAAAAGAAGGTCGATAGACTGGTCTGTAGGATGCCATTGCGAAAAGCAAAAAACAAAACAAAATGTAAACACAAATCAGAACGTCAACACTTCACTTCTTCAAAACAATGAAAATGACGCTCAGATTCATGGGAGACTACTGTAATATCAACGAGGATTAGTCGTGACACAGTTTTGTCCCTTTAAACAGTGGAAAATTACACTAAATATGACTTCGTCATAGGCCCGCCGCATCAGCGGGCACATGGCACAGGGAAGCACTTCTTGGCAGGCCGGGGCAGTGAAGGGGTTAAGTTGACTGTTTCTCACAAACTTGTTCTATTCCATGTATGAGTGCACTTTAAAATAAGGATTAGACGGTGACTTGTCTTACGTTTTCTTGTCCTTTTGTTCTACATATCTTTAAGCTAGACTTACCTCTACACAGTTGACGTTGTGGTATCATTTTATTGTTTTCATTGTTAACTGACAAATAGGCATAAATTGTTTTCCATCTTTCACCAGGCTCTGTTTATGAAAGACTACACCTTATCAATCCTACTCTTGACCCGCGCATGCCAACAGGAGGAATCGAGGGCCAGTCTGCTCGCAAAGACACTCAAGTTTGTGGTTTGCAGTCTTTTGGAGATTGTGTTGATTAGAAATGTTTGGATGTAGTTTTCTCCTTTTCTGCCTGTCTTGCATGTTTTACATAACAATAAAGGGCTAAATGTGAGGCAGCATGGTGAAATCAGGCGCTCATCAAAATGATCAAAGTGAAGAAACTGGCATTTTTCCGCAGGTTTGTGAATTTTATCGAATTTTCGTTTTTTGGCGCGACTCTTGTCATGCCTATTAAAGAACACATTTCTGTGTGGGTTTTACTGAAAAATGTTGATTGAAGGCATAAAAAATGTAAATGTTCAGTTTCCATGGACTCTCAAGCTAAGGAAATAATTAATCTTTGGCGGCCATTTTCTCACAAATTTTTCCTGTGAAACCAGGTGACCCCCACCTCCTTTATTCGCTAATATTTCGACTTCTATTGAAGATATCTGGATATTTTTTCATCCAAAGCAAGACAAATGAACATGCTTTAAGATGATACCAATTACTCAATTGCTCAAAAATTGATGAGAGCCTGATTCCACCACATCATGACACAAGTATGTTGTCGACAAAATTGTAATTGATTTGAAGTCCAGACATGCCATGCAGGCACTGTGTTTCGAGTATTCATATCTCAATTTTTGGGAGCTTTTTGAAATTCAGCTTCTTACTATTTTTCTGAAGATCTGAACCAGATTAGTATTCAATTTGTTCATTTTTATATCCATTCTTTTATGACAGTAAAATGCTTTGTCCTTAAATGTCCCCTTCAAAATTTCAGATCCAAGTCTTCAAGTGACAATTCTAATAGCTCCAATGCACCGGTGACATCCAAGCTCATACCTCAGTTGTCCAACCAGAGCTCCACTGACTCAAACTCTCCTATGGACCCAAGTCCATCATTTTTACAAACTGGCATAGTTTTGAATGACAATGATCAACCCACGGACATCCAAATGGTGGTTGATGCTTTGGTTCACATCCTGGGACAAGTGCACTATTTCCCAGATGCTCTAGCCAAGTGCATTATTCCAGTTATTGACAGGTGACGTAACTTTTGTATTGCATTGGCATTCTTTGTTGCCCTTTGTACCCTGTAGTCATCCCGTAATTGATTTAATTAAAAATAGTCCATTTCATTGTGGTAGCTCTTTTAATCTAATTGACTAGAAATTTGTGTTGCATTGAAAATTGTTTGCGCTCATGCATATGCTGTTAAGTTTTTGCAGAGGCAGGACCTCAAAATTTACTGCCTTTTTCCAGTAGGACGGAGTCAGTCAGATGGAGAGCCTGGTTAACTCCCGAAACCTTGTTACAAAGTTCAAGAATATCCCACTGGTGCTGTCCCTTACTGTATGTCTCTATAGAGCCAGTGCTTTTAGGATCAAAGTCTTCGTGAATGTAGGTCGCATATGGGACTGCTTTCTGCACAAATAAATGTAGTGGTTGTTTGACGTGTTCAGTCCCTAAATTTTAAAGTGAGGGACATTCAAAGAGGTTACATATAATACTAGAGCTCGCGGCAGTGACGTCACACGTGTCAGACATGGGGGCCTTCTTACCCTCACACGCATGGCCAGCACACCCCCATTTACATGAGCCCCCACCCTACTCTCCACAAGCTCTTTTGTGTATAACACCACCCAGACCCCATGTTTCTGTGCAAGCTTGTAGATTTCCTCTTTAGACTGCCGAGACGCCTCCACGTGAGTCTTGAAAAGTACTCACTCTTCTATTGAACTGCGCATGTCTTGCCCTTGAGGTTCAGCATCCCAGGGTGGGCACACGCAGCCACTAGTTCATTTATCTGGGGGACATCACTGCCCCGAACTCTAGTACTAAATATAACCTCTTCAGGGACGTCTCTAACACTGAATGGTATAAATCAGAATTCATTGAGCGTATTCAAATAACATTATTATTGGTTTTTTTTTCCACTGTAGATGTACGTCCTGGGAGATGTTCAACATAAAAAATCCTTTGGTTACCCCAGAAATGAAGGTGAGTCTGTGGGTGCTTGTTTGGCCGTGTCCTTCCCCTGCAGGGTGTTGTCTGTCTGAAAGATGATATCTTTTCTGTTCTGTTTTTTTTACTTGTTTTTTTTTATATTCATGCCTATTTGCCTGTCTGCATGTATTGCCTCTCCACTAGCTCTCAGGGTGCTCTCCTGGTCACTTTCCTTTTATAGCTCTCATCCCCCCCCCCTCCCCCCCTTTTTTGTCTTAAACTCTTTGGTATAGTCAGCTCTTGTTCTTTTGTTCATCTTTGTTTGTATTGTCCCTGTCGTGGATTTGTTTTCAGGTGTCATTGTGAGGACTCTTATAAGTAAGCTTTTTCATTTTTTCAATGCTGTTGTATGCAACTTTATTAGAGAGATCCAGCTTCAGAGTCATAAATGTCGTTTATGATAAGTTGGTTTTGTAAAAGTTTTCAACTACCATTCTGAAGTGTACATTTAATGTACCTGTGTCTGAGCAATGGATGGCTTTTTTACTTTGTACCTTGTTCTTTGTGAGGACAGATTTGAGTACTGTTTAATGTTTCTTTGAAGTATTAGTAAAATGTTGGATAGTAATTTATTTTAAAATGTCTAGCTGATTTAATATTTTTGGCTTTGAAATTAAGTATTATTTGTCATGTCCACTCCTTGCTTTTTAGAGTGTAGAGCTATTTTGTATTTGTTTTCTGAAGGGCTTTAAAAACATTCTGTGTGGTATTTGCTTATAGGTTTAAGTGTCTCTAATTCCTAGTTGCATTAACAAATTTACTTTCCTTTATGAAATATTTTCATAGTGTATCACAATATTGAACAAAAATTGTGGTCAAAGCCAGTAAAGTGTCAAAGTGGAATCAAACCATTATTAACTTATTGTGTGTATATCTGGCAGGTACCAGAATGGGTTACTTCAGTCTTCAAGATTTTGGAGCCTTTCAGTGACAGGTTTGTTTGTTATGACTACATTCCTTAATTCCCAGTTATTGATGAATTTGCTTTCTTTAATACTTTACTAGCTTTTCCGCTGGCCTGATTTTGGTGTCTTCATTGCTGGCTAGCTGGCTGGTCAAAGTATCCTGTTTTGTTGATGATCAACATTATTTGAATATGGCGGCCCTTAGTGAAAACAACTGAGGAAGCTTTGATGACATGGAGTAGTGTAATTACACTTGAGACCAAAACATTTGCATTTAGAAAGCGAAACAAAAAAAAAGAAGGAAAATCAGTATGAATTTTGCTATCTTTCTGTTCTGTATAAGGAGAAAACTCATTGGTAGTAGGAAGACTGCACAATACAGCTCTCAGTGTGGACAAGTTCCTAGGAACTGTTGTCTGATGGGTGGTTGGCGGGTGCTCTGTTGTAGTTTGGTCCCTCTTTCCTATCAAACTTCTGTCGTGCTTAACTTTCCTCCTTTTTTGTATGTTTAACTCTAGTAGTATCTCTAGTCTTTGGCACTCAAAGCTAAAAAAAAAAGAGAAGTGTTGTCCAAACAAGAACCTATTCCTTTTCCGATGCCTGGGTCCTAGTGTTATATTTCTTTACTTGTTATAAGCCTACTCATCTGCTAAGCTAAATATAAGTGTACTTCCCTGTCAACCAGGGTGATCGAGCCCATGCTCAGGTACCTGAACAGAGTGAAGACATCAGAGACCTTCATACGACCAGTGATTTCATATGTTGCTGACCTCCCTTGTGGCTGTCCACCAGGGTATTCTCTGCGAGACCACTCCAAGCCCCCAGGTGAGAAGCTTCTTATATTACTGTCTTCAATATTTCATCAGCTAGAGTGATGTGAAGGGATACTTCATTTATTTTCATCTGTATGCTTTTCATGTGATGTAAGTGTTGCTGTTGCTGTACCTTCTGAAGGAATGCCAAAGTACTGATTTGAGTGTTCCTTTTGGTCCTCCCATTTCTTTCCGTCCTTTCCCTCTTCATTGCAATGTGGCCAAAATACTTAATAGTTGTATAAAAAGCAGAGGACTATTGTAATATATTGGGGTATCAAAGTATGTTTTGAATATATTTTTTTTGGGTCTTGAATCTTGTCTGTACAGTTGAACAACAGGTAAAATAATACATGTTTGTTAAGAGGAGGTTGGTCTTTTTTTTTCTTTTGATTCCGTCCTCATGCTTTTTTTCTTTATGAGTAACATTGACATTTGTCACGACGTGGTGGAATCAGGCGCTCGTCAATTTTTGGGCGTGTGGAGTTATTGGTATCATCTTAAAGCTTATTTGTTTGCCTTACATTCTATGAAAAAATTACCCATCAGTCTTCAATAGAAGTTTAGGTGTTTCCAATTGAAGGAGATGGGTGTCGTCTAGTTTCAGAGATAAAATTAGCAAGAAAATGACTGCCAAAGTTTGGCGCCTTCCAAAGCTTGAGATTCCTTGGAAACTTCAAATTTGCTTTTTTTGTGCTTTTGGTCTACGTTTTTCTTTAAAATCCAAACCAAAGTGTTTTTAAATGGACATAAAAGATGTTGAGCCGGAAAGAGAAATATAAAAAAAATTGCCCAAATGCCATATAAATGCCGATTTCTTTGATATCACAAGGATACCTCACATACTTCTATTATTTCCGATTCATTGCCTCTTTTGACATGACCATCCAACATACTTTTGTCTTCTTTTTCAGGTTTGAAAGATGTTCTCTCTCACTGTTTAGAGCTGTTGATAACGGAAATAGAGAAATGTGTTATTGTCCTGCCTGCTTCTGTCTGCACTCTGTTCAGCATGATAGAGACCAACTGCAGAGATTTGGGGATAAAGACAAGTCACCGATGTGTGGCTTTGCAGGTAAATTGTCATACTATGTGAAAGCAGTGGAAGTTGTAACTCTCCTTCATGGGTCAAATAGATAAAGACCTGCCCAGTACTCCGATGAAATCAGAGCTCTCCGATTTTTTTTCCCGAATGACTTGAAAATACACAATTTTCATTTGCGTTTATGTGAGTGCATTTGCAATACATGTTTATTTCCCCCAGTCTGTTTGTTAACCTACTGGGGTTCTGTAGACCTAGTTTTTTTTCCCAAACTTCGATTTTTTTTTAGGATTTCGAGGAAAATTGCTATATTTATTCATGGAGTGGTTGGCAGGTCTGTAATTGTAACTTTCTTCTGTGTGTCAAATTTGATACGTCAGCTTTTTGCTTGATATTTTCCTGATGCTGGGAAATGTTTACACATCCTGCTCATAATTGTAAGCCACAAGCCTTGACTTCCCCTGGCCAGCTGGTCAACTGCTAATTGGAAGTACACTGGTAACCTCAAAAACTTTACTGGGAACTTTACTGTATGTAGTGCCTTTTTTTTGCAACAGTAAAAAGCATTGACACCTATGGCAGTCGAAATAATACCAGTGTGCACTTTACTGAAATATTGTACGTTACGTCTGATGCATACTGGAACTGGGCTAGAGAAGCCTTATGGTTTGTTAACAGGTTGACTAATCCCATGCATATGACTGGTGTAGGGTATAGTACAGACTAAATGGATAAAGCATTTAGTACATAAGCACAGCATATGACTCCAAAATTCTGAACATGATTTGACTCAAGTGATGACAATTACCCTTTGGTTTCCAAAAGTTGGAGTTTCCAGGAGCAGGTCTTGAATTATTTCTATTTAGGCTGCACATACTTATTGCATGTCGAAATTTGTGATTTTCTGTTTTTCTTATAGCTGTGGGCACTTCGATTGAAACTATAATTTCATGCCTTAAAAATATGGAAAATAGTTCAATGTTCTTAGTTTTGATCTTGATCATTAACATATTTATCAAAGTGAATTTTATTTTATTTGCAGGTAATCACCTGGTCCATTTGGACATCCTTGCAGCAGTTCTCAGCCAATGTGGATGGACTGGGTGACCTGATGAGCTCTGACACAAGGAAACAAATCATGACTGTGGCTGACAGCTTGTTCCATGTGCTTGTTTATGGGAAAGGTGGTGACTTTTTTGTGGACTTATGTATATCTGTATTTGTATATGTCATCTCTGTCATAAGAAGAGTAATAATTTCAATTTGCTTTGTGTTTTTTTTAACCCTCCCTGTATGTTAGGGTCATATTGGGTTGTCATTTTTATTGTACAAGTAATGATATGTTTAATGTGCTTGTGTGTGTGTATGTGTTTTACGATAATTTTCATCAGCTTTTACATTGCTGCAAATTGAATGCCTTGCTCCTTGCTTTTCTATTGCTTGCATTGTACATTGGAGCTTATGCATGAAGCCACAAGCCTCATTTTCCCTCAGTGAGACATTTTCAGATTAACTTGTATACTGCTAGCAATAGACAAAACAGTGAGTGTAAGAAAACTGTTGTGGAATATTTTTAAAGCTATGGGATACAACAGTCTCACAGGAGAAGTGTTAAGTCAGTCCTTCTTTATTCGTAAGATCAGAGGGACCTTTTCTTTTTTTGTTCTCAGCTGTGTGTATCCATTGATAGGCATATTTTATGTTGTAATATTAGCTTCTGAAACTTGTAATTTGTGAGGTGTGCTTATAAAATGAGTTGTTTCTCGCAATTCATGAATGGAAATATTGGCCAAATTCGACACAAGGGTCATATTCGTAGATTCTAAACCAATAACATTCACTTCAAATTTAATTTGTCTTTTATCATTTCATTCTTCACCTTCACCTAACCCGTAAACTGGATGTCTGTCAGCGTGTTTTTGAAGCATCTTCTCCACTCCTTCTGATCTTCAGCTTTTCTGAGCATGTCTTTGAGTTCCAGGCCTGTCCATTCCTTGATGTTGTCCTCCCAACTTTTCTTCGGTCTGCCTCAGCTCCTTTTTCATACTTATAAATTATAAATCCTCAACCTATAAATTTGTCTTATCTATTTTCTAAAATCCGAGAAGCAACTTATTTTGTCAACACGCCTCACTTTTGTTTAGTCAGACATTAATGTCCCAGCCCCCTCTCGTGATGTTGGATATTTTTCGTCATTTGGATGAAATCACTACCAACAGACAATGTACATCTGCTTTAGCTTAATTTTCAGGTCTTGTTGACATTAATTTGACTATTTGTTGTTCTCTTTGAAAAAGTCACTATTTTGTTTGTTTTTTGTTCCCAGGTCCCAACACCCCTAAGTTTGCTTTGAAATTCATCAAGAGTCACAAGGACTGGCTAACAGAGAAAATCAACAGTATTGCCTCGTACATTTCTGATGAGTATGCTCCTCTTTTTATTTTCTTTCATCTTTATTTGTTTAGATCATGGACTCTTGGCAGATTTGAAATTGAAGACTTAAAATGAGAACTGAGCTGTTTTTTTCTTTTGGAATGCGAAATTTTCATGAAATTTTCCTGGCAACTTAAACTTTTATTTACTTGTTTATTATACATGGGGGGGGGTTGAAGGGGGTGTTCAAATTTGTAATGAAGCTGACTCTTTCACTTTGCAATGGCTAAACGAGGGAACTGTGGTTATCTTATGATTACTATTGAACTGTTGAGGAAATAATTTCCTTTTGAATGTTTTGAGATTTAAATACATTTTTTTTTCAGGTTCCACTCGCTTCCGAATACAGATTTTACTGAAGCAGCTACCAACATTTTCACTGATCATGTCTATTCATTGCTCGCTTCTTCGATTATGGATTCACCAAATGGTAAGCAGGTTAAATGATAGATATGACCTTACATCATATACAATTGCAAAGTACGTTATTAAAAAATATCACGTTAATGCACAAATACATTTAGAAGAAAGGGTTTCTGAAACCTCAGATAAGGCAGTATAGTCTCTTTCAACAACTTTTAATTTGAATTGACTTTTAGAAGTCCTCAACAACATCATTTGTAATAAGCAATGAATTATTTAATCAAAATTTTCTCCCCTATTAACATGCATTTTGGAATATCTACAATATAAACTGGCAATGAAAATACAAAAATGCTGAAATACTTGTTCCAACTGCCACCAATACAAATAGCTGCTTCCCACTTCCCCCCTGCATTTTTTTCTGTATTATAATAGTACGACAATTTTCAAAGGCTGCCACCTGTCTGAGAGAGCCATTTTTCTCCTCAACAGTGGATGGCCATCTCAGACAATTTCAACTGTGTTTGCTGTTACTACCTGCTGAAAAAATTGTATTCTTTTTTTTCCTTTTTGCACATTGTTTTTTGTCTTTTTAAAAATCAAAGGTTGGAAGGATGATACATTCTGTGACTTTGGAGAGCGATGAGAGAAAGGCAGCTGTTGTTTTTTTTTCGGTTTTGCTTTTCAGAAGAAAAGGAAACCTACTTTTGCTATTGCTATTGTTTATAATTGCATGCACCGTGGACCTCAGTGGCTATCAGCAGTTTTGCACGAAGAAAAGTTTTAGGTTTTTAAAATTGTCTGTGTCACTACACCAGTATATCCTTGAAGTAGCTACTTTGAGTGAACCTTCTGTCCTTACAAAGTGTGAGCCTTCCATGGGAAAGAATACATCTTTCGTGAATACAAGCGTTTAAAAAACTTATTTGAAAAATACTAAACAGATTCCAAAAATCCTGAAAAATTAAAACTTAGGAAGAGAAAAGATTGTAGCTTCAGAAAAATATAACTTTATGTTTGCACAAATTGTTGGAAATGTTCTAACTTTATTCAGTTGGGGTGTCCGACCTGTCACTCTCACTCTCAGCCTTGCTGTCGGGCCCTAGATCTAAATTTTACAGTTGTACACCTGATAAATCTGAATCGCCCCAAACTCTTGCTACAACATTTTCATCATATCTGATTCATCTGATTTGTCATTTGCTTGTTCTTGCTCAAATTCATTGTTATATCCTTTTTCAAACTTAATTGTGTTGCTTTTCAACAAGTCGAGACACCTTTGAAGTGTCAGAAACACGATCGCACTTTGTTCAGCTCTAATATTAAAACTACTAGCCTAACCAGAAAAATTTCGTTTCGGTATCAAACGGAAGAAGAAACATTTTGCAATAACTATGTAAAACAAAATCTCTGCCCTAGAGTCTCGTTAAGGCGAGACTTCGTTTCTAAATATGCCTGGTCGGAGCGGGCGATTCCGGGCAAGTTAAGATGGAGCGCGTAACAAAATTCGCGGGCTATCCCGGGCGATTTAGTGTGTAATGTATTAACTCCAATGCCAAAACTAGGTATGTCATCAGATGTATCTCTCTGTTCTGCCAACCCTGACAGGATTCAAGTACCTGGACACGGTGTCTCGCCTTGTGGTCAACAACAGTCACTGGCTCCTGGAACAGCTGGATGTCCAGCCCCCCGTGCCACTAGCTGCCACCAGTCAAAGGCCGTCTTCTGCCTTCAAGATGGACATCAGTGAACCAGTTCCGAGTGACGACTTCAACCCCATCAAAGCCATGATGTCTATTGGGGATTCTCCATTCAATCAGGTCAGTATCATTTGCCTTTCACTGTCTTCGTCATGGGTACAATGGGTAAGAACCATAACTGATTTCTCTTTCTTTTTGGAAAATTTATCAGTGGCAAAAGTTGCCTACCCCTTTATGAGGATCGGTATAGTGTATGCCCACATGTGGACTGCTTGAGGTAAATATGATCTTTCTAGTGAGAGTGGCTAGTTCTTATTGATATTGCGTACAAAAACCCAGTGCAGTAAGTGGTATTGTAAATACTTTCCCCCCAATTATATGAAAAAGAAAGAAAAGTGCATGAAATGTAATCCCCCAAGTGTCTCTATGGACAAATAAGAGACACTCCTTTAAAGGAAGACCAAAAAAAAATTAAATGATGATTTTGATGGTTTTGAAAAAAGTGTTTTTGAACTCGGTACTTTGACTGGATTGTTTTTTCAGATGGCCATTCAGGAGTTCCCGTTTGACTGGATGGCTATCTTGACCAGTGACTTAGGCTTAAGTCAGCCGGCTTTTCGCAGTCTGTTGATGAACCGACATGAGATGCAAGAGGGAGCCACTCTTGAGGAGGCAGAGAAGAAGCCTGTAGATGTCCTGAGAGCAGTTTATGAACACTGACAGGCCTTTGTCAGTTCTTTAACCAATTTTGTTGCTGTCTTGTGCAAGGCTGATAGTTTCTTGGTATTCTTGTGTGATCTACTCCTTGGTCTTTTCTTTAGTCTTTAGTATCCTATATGTTGCTTGTACAATTGGGCTATTGTTGTGCCAATTTGCCTGCTCTTCGCAGATAAGTGCTGGAAGATAACATGAAAGTGACAACAACTTCCTTAGTAGAAGTGGAAGGCAAATTTTGTTTGCGTGATCTCAGTTTATAAAAAGTCTGATATTTTAAAGTCCTTTCCTCATATGCATTTTCAGTTTCCAATTGTGACAATTTGTTTTATAAAGATGTTTTGCACTGATTGGCTCATGGTCGCCAGTATGATGTTTTGCTAAATTTTGTGTTATTTTGCTCTTGATTTGCTGTTGTATGCCCTCTTATTGACCTCTGTGTATGTCCAGTTACCCTGTTCTAAAACACACTATCTAGTCATATACAGTTTATATTGTTGTAGAAAAAGTTTTGAGTTTGGACATGGACCGAGCTGCTGACTGATATTTATTATCCAAGACTGATTGTCGGTTGTTGAGCCAGCACATCCTCAGGTTTTTACTGTCACTCACAGAACTGTTGGATTTTTTTGTTTTTCAGATTCATCTGAGTTTCTTTCTGCCTCAGTCACTAATGCCATAATATACCAAATCTTGAGGAATAGATTTTGAATGTGCACCGTTGAGTGTATGAATGGGAATATGAAATTATTGTAATTTATAACAGAATTATTAATGCTCATCAGGAGAAAAGATTTTTAAGTACCTGTTCAAGTGCATTTTCCTCGCTCTTTTGTAGGTAGAAATTTTTGAGCTATGAAATCATGTTTGGGTCAAGTAAAAAAAGCTCTTAAGTATTTTTGTACTTCACTAAAGATGTTTGTTTCTCTGAGCTTGATGTAGAATTTAACTGTAATAACACCCATGACAGTTTTTGTTTCATGTTAACTGGATGACCCAGCATGGATACACACTGACTGAATATAAACACCCCCAGGGCGGTGCCACTGACTGAAGTGTCTTTAGGCCATTCCCAAAGGGGGGACATTTCTCGTTCACGCACAGTAGAATTGTAAATGGGCTGATTCATCAATGTCATGCTCATAACTGTGTCTGATCTACAACAGGGAACTGCGGCTTTTTCTTTCCTAATCCTTGCTATTGTCATTTTATTCTCTACTTCTTTTGTATGTTTTTCACACTCTTGTAACCTGCTATTTCCGGGGTGCCTTTAAAGTCGAAACAGACTTTGTGCTGTTGAAGCTAGAGAGGTGAGCAGAGTAAGCCTGATTACCTGTAAAGACTTCTCTGTGGACATCCACCCCTTGGCGCTCATATGACCTTATGCAGTTGAGAGTGCCGTAAAACCTCTACTAAATAAAAAAATAAAAATAAACAGAAACTTTTAAGTGTATTAAACACTTGAGGTTCTTCCTAATTTTGTTGAACTGAATGTTCTAGTCTGTACAGGTCTTTTTAAAAGTGAAATAACATCAAGGATTGATGTTAAACTGAACATGACAAAAGCCGCTCTCTGCAGTTTTTCCTTGTAATAACTCCATGCTGTGGTAACAAGACGGCTAATATTATTGTTTGTTGTTGTCTTTGTGTGAATATAGGTACATTAGGTGATGGTTATGGGAAATCTAAGGTCTGTCATGCACATTACAATTAGTATTTTTGGACGCATCAAATTGCTGCATTCTTTTTTATGTGGTTTTGAATTAACAAAGATGTAGACTGACCTACTTTTGCAAATTTCCTCGTGATTGATCGGTATTTAGTTGATCGTGTCTTCATTTTGTTATTTTTTTGTTTTTAATTTGTTAGAAAAAGAAGTACCTTGCTGGAGGAATGGTGGTCCTCCCATCTTCAAGTCATTATGGCATCTGAGTCCATGTTGTGAAAAGTTATGCCATATACTTTTAATTTGTGAGTGACAGTTATCTGAGTCGGAGAATTGAGGGAAAAATATTCTAGAGGAAAAATGTTTTGATTGTGCAAGTGAATGTACTTTGGGAAATTTTTTAAAATACTGTATGAACAAATTAGCTATTGTAGTCCTGAAAAAATCAGCAACTGTTATTGTTTACCTCGTATGAAAGTTAGTACATGTTTTATAAAAATTATCATGTAGTCTAAATGACTTCCTCGGGTTGGGTCATTGTTTTGTTTTTATAAGAAATATCACTGGATTCACATGATAGTCACATAATGGGCCTCATGATTTCATAGATGCCGCAGTGTCCATTTGAGTTCTGCAAATTATTGTGCAATGAAGTTTGCTAGTGAAATTATCCTTATTTATGTATTATTTACGCCTGAATCACTCTTCATGCATCCCAGTTATGATTATACATTGAATCTAAACCAATGCTTGAGTTTTGATAGCACAATTTTACTGCCCTGCATTCTTGTTCAGTTGGTGGGATGTCTCTGCACAAGAGGTAGGTAATGTTTGTACCAATAGTAGTACATATCAAGAGTTCATGAGAATGAGTGATAGCATTGCAATGGGTTGTGAGGATCTCAACTTTTGTAATGATAGTTTTGGTGCATTTACTGTGATACAAGGAACTCAGTTGAATAAATTTGATCTTTTAGAATTCAGTCATGGAGTATTTGAAGCTACATAATTGTTTTTAAGAAGTTTATTACCCAACAACAGTAACTTGTGCCTCCCATGTTATCCGTCTTGTTGTCCAGGTATTGAGATAACTGCAGATGTGAGGCATCGTGGTGAAATCAGGTGCTCCTCAAAATAATGAAACAGAAGAAAACTGCATTTTTCAGGCGGTTTAGCAATTTTTATCGAGTTTTTGTTTTCTTGCTCAACATTTTTAATGTCCATGTAAAAATACATTACTGTGTGGGTTTTTACTCAGAAATGTTGATTAAAGGCATGAAAACGTAAATTTCAAGTTTCCAAGGACTCGTAGGCTGTGGATGTTACTAAACTTTGGTGGCTATTTTCTTGCTAATTTTAACTCTGAAACCAGGCAACCCTCACCTCCTTCAGTCGCAAAAATATCTTGGCTTTCATTTTCATAGAAAGCAAGACAAATGGACAAGTTTCAGGTGATACCAATAACTCCTCATACCCAAAAATTGACGATGGTCTGATTCCACCACGTTGTGACACACATATTTACAAATGTTGATGCTGTAGTTGTTCTGAGTCCACATCATGCCAAGGATATCCTCACCAGTGGGACAACATATGTACACATGGATTCACTGTGTTTTCAGAATAATGCTGTTGGCTGTATAATTCACCTTGTTGTATGTCAAAATAATGTGAATATGAGTTTTATTCTCGCTATACAGTGAGAAAGGACCTCATTACCTTACATTAAAAAGTCCCTTTATCCTTGGCAATGAAAAATTTTATCAAGATTTAGTTGTGTTGCCTATTGCTGAATTCTGATCCATGCTCTCTGTGATTATCATCATGCTTCTTATGTCGGGGAACTGGCACGAAAGTATGCTATCTATGGAAAATGAAAGTTTCATCCACTGAACCTTGTTGTTGAAGATGGAACCCTCTGACTGAGACATGTGTATCTCATCTGGTGGCAATGACCCTGATAAGAGGAATTTGATAGATCAAATTTGTATTTAGTTAACATTCTGGATCATATAAGTGTTCCAATGTACTTGTAAACATGTATAAATTCTGTACTTAAATGTGAGATTCCGAAAAAATAATCTGCTATGAATGTAGCAAGAAATTACTATAACAGTCATACTTAACAGGGGACTGGTGTTGTTGTGATATAACATTACATGTATTTGGTCTGTGATTTTTGGTTGCTGGTTTTTTATTTTTTCAAGAGATAAACACGGTTGATTATATTTTGAAATTATATAGAGAGTAATTTATTTTGTTGAATTGATAAAATTTCCCCTCAAGCAATAAGTAACCGTGAGTAAAGATAACAATTTATGTCAATATGCTTTCATGTGAAGGTCTATCATAATCTGTTCTCTAGACAAAGTTTTGTTTGTCAGGTACAGTTGAATGGTAAATTCATTATTAACCTTTCTCATTAATAATACGTTTTTGAATGCCTTTCTGAACAATGGCCACATATTAGCTTCATTTTCTAAGATTTTTCTGCATTTGATGTTTTCTCAAATTTTATGGAATTCATTGTAATTTTCCTAGATTTTGTTAGGGCAGCATTAAATTGTTTTTATAGGTTATGATCAAGTTTAGAATGTTCCTGTCCTCTACATGAAGTTCAAGATTGGTGACTCAGAGCAGTGCCCAACTGGATCTGACAGCCAAAGAGAAAACCGTTTGCCTGAGGCTCTGAGAAGAAAATATTGGCCCACCCCTCGGCAGGAAGACCCAGAACTTTACATGAGCCAGGAGGACCTGCAACGAACAGCAGCCTTCACACTAGAGGCTGGATTGTTTATTTAAAGATGAATGAAAAAACCTTTTGTACCCTCTTCCATGTTGAGCAATTGAGCTGCTGAGGAAAAGAAAACAGTTGGTCATATCTATCACTGAATGTGAAGAGAATACCAAGTGTGATAAGTTTTATAAGATGCCCCCCCCCCTCCCCCCCTCTAAATTTCCCATTTCATAATGCATAATTGTCAAATTGAGGAGAAACTGGATTATTTGTTAGATTTTTTTAAATTCCTTGTTTGTATTGTCTTTATTTCATCACCAAATGTCGTAGTTGAACTTTTTTTCCTCACAGTTCTGAGCTTTATTCAAGATAAAGACTTCTCTTGATGAATTTGTCTTTTGAGAAAAATGGTATATATTAATTTGCTCTTAATGTCCTTTTTTGACCTCCTATTCATTGTTTGACTTTTGATATACTTTTGAGTATTTGCTCTTTTCATGCTTTTAGTCAAGCTTTAAAGCTTTGGTATTGGGGTGCGCAGAGGGTAGTCCCTAGTTTTGAGAGTTCTGTAAGCATGTCAAGCCGCAAAGGATAGTCGAAGTTTTTATGTCATGTAAAGCATCTTGAAGACTTCGCTTGTGTTAATGAACAAGGGGTCACATTGAAAGTAGGACTACATGACACATTTCCTAAATCTCACAATTTTGTAGGCTGCACTTATATCAACACGTGTGGCTTTTCTATCCTTGACTTATGAAATACTAAAATGTAGATACTTATCATTAGTATTACAGACTAACCGATTTTATCACGTGCTTTAGGTTTGTGGTTAGGGGGACTAAAGAGTTTCTTAACAGAAATGGGGTAAATTTTGTTTCAGTTGAGTAGAAAATGTGAAAGATCAGATTCCAGATATTTTCGTTTTGCTGCTTTTTGCGGGGAAGAAACCTTTGGAGACATGAAGACAATTTGATGCCATTTGGAAGGATATGACATTTGGAGAATCTATTAAAGTATTCTCAGTTTTGCAATGCATTTAAATTGTACTATGACCATCTGCACTGTACTCTCTACAGAGCAAATCATCCCCTGTGTGTGATATATT